TTTTTTTTTTACAGTGTATAGCATGTTTCATCTTTAATATTATGCAGGTAGTATGAACACAAACACACAATTTGTTGCACTCTTGCTCCTGAATTTCTGGTGCATCTAAACTTTTCATCAATAACAGTAATTATCCGTCATTTATATGGTGTTAAATACGGTATAAGACAGCCAAAAAAAAAAAAAAAAAAAACCCCGTCAGTAATCTAAAATCAACTGTTTGAGATTCAGTGCACGCGAAAAACGCAACACAGAACCAGGCATCACGCTGTCAAACCTACCTGCTGCTGTCTCCCCCCGGTGACTCGGCTCCCAGCATGCACCTCTCCAGCTGGCTTGCCACAATCTGCCGCTCCTCCTCCAGCTCCCGAGTCAGCCGCTCAAACTGCAGCTCCTACGGCAAAGACATGAGCAGCGATTACAACCCGACATCCACCATGACACGGCAGTTTAAGCCCCCTTTTTTAAAGACCCATTTGATGCCAGTCAGAATAAAATATAAAACCCATTTCGCATTCAGTCCGCATGACTTGACTGATTTGTCACCGGTTGTGAGCTCGCTGAGAGGCTGTTAAACGGGGATTCGAGATATTAAACAGTAAAATTGTGTGCATGACTTTTTGATGCAGATAATTTAATTACATTAAATATGAAGCTTTTACTACAGAGCGACAAAGACGGAGCAGAGAATGATAAAATATAGGTTTGAAGGCAACAGGATGGAAATAGATGTCGCCTAATGACCTTAGATTGCTCATTCTGGGTGCAGCCTTTGAGGAATTTCAACAATAACTGATCTTTTGGACATTTTATTTGCAAAGCTGGTTAATATCAATTCAATAACTACTAACCCAAGTCATTTATATGTGTTTTGGTTTTGTCATGAGATTTTATAAGGTCAATCTTTCATCCCAGTTATTTCACTTATAAATTAAGGAATTTATAGGCCTGTGAAGTGTGTTGTCGATACATAAATCCAGTTTATTATCTCAAGAGACCAAGAAAACCAATAAATATTCACATTTTACTAAATGGAGTCAAATGATTTCTGACATTTTAGCTTTAAAAATTGTCAACATGATAATTAAATGTAAATATTTCAACATATTTCATGTTTATCAAAAAACTAATCAATGAAACAGCAGAATTTTTTTAAGCTCTTAAAAGATTTTAAAGCTGAAAGTAGTATAATAGAACTAAAAAAAAAAAAAAAAAGGCAAATCGTTTGTTGAACTGTTTGTTCAACAAACGGGGGGCGTGGCCAGTCTGACAGAACTGACAGATCTGTCAGACTACGCCCATAAGGAACACCAAATAAATGACAGGTCACAGCGATCAGCTGACGCCTCTGAGGAAGACTGAAGTTCCAGTCGAAACATGTCAGGTAAAGAACCATCTCCTAAATGTCTATTGTCTGAAAAGAAGAAACCTAAGTACTAATTCAAGAGTAGACAAAATGAACTTGCTAGACGTAGCAGCTAGGCTGGGCTTGGCTGGTAGCTAATGTAGCAGCCAGCCTCGACAAGCTAGCTAAGGGCTGCACAGAGCTACAGATACATTCCCCACCGCTGGCCTCTCAGTTATGATAGTCAGATTATCCATCGCTGCGATCACAGTGTATGTTCCGGTTGCCATTTTCCTGCATGTGTCCTTTTCAGAGTTGTATTCGTTTACAGAGAACTTAAGGTAGCGACGACCATGTAGCCCAAACACAGTAAAAGCACTTATATTTTATCACAAACAGGGGGTGGGGTTAGGGTTGTATTATGCTATCATTATATATTATTTATAGATATTATGTATAGTATTTGGATAAATTATTAATAAATAAATAAATGTATTCTGGTGACCTGTCCAGGGTGTCCCCTGCCTTCGCCCTAAGTCGGCTGGGATAGACTCCAGCTCCCCCGCATCCCTCGTGAGGATTAAGCATATAGATAATGGATGGATGGATGGAAATAAATGTATTTATTTATTTATTAAGAATATTCAATTAGTATCTATATTTTAACTTTTGAACAAGCTAAAAATGTATTTATGTTATTATGTATTATTTTAATGACAATAAATGTTATTTGTTATCGATGTTTTACACTACTAAAATTTAGGGCCAATGACTTGTACTCCAGTGTACTTCTGATTATTTTTTTCTTTTCCTGGGATGAGATCTCAGAGATATCCGTCTTCTCCTCTTTCTTGGTGGGGAGATACTGG